ACTACACATGTTGTTAGGGTTTTTTTAATTTCCAGGATAAGGGCACCACTACTCCTGGGACGTCAGAAATTTCGTCTGCCGTAGTGACCGGTTTAGATCAGGCCTACCAGAAGTTTTCCTCCGCCGCCCGAGCCTTCTCCCAGGCCCAGGACGAGGCCAGGAACGCCGAGCAAGCTCTGGAGAGCGCTCAAGCGTCCGTGAGCAGCGCGGGTGGAGAGGCGGTGGCCAAAGCCGTGGTGACATCCCGAGAGGACGCAGTGGACATCATTACGAGAGCACGCGCTGAGGCCAGGGCGAAAGTGCTGGCGGCTCGCCGGGACTACGTGTCCGCTGTGGCCAAAGCTCACGCCAAGATCACCGTGCTGAAATTAGTGGAGAAGAGATTCCGCGCTCTGGCTGTCACCTTCGCGAAGGCGCGCCTCTACGCCAGCTCAGCCATCGCTGCTCTCAAAGGAAGCTCCCAGAAGGGAGCCAGCTACGCTACCGCTTTGGCCACGGCCAAATCTCGAGTGGCCAAGATGAAAATTGTGGAGAAGCGGTTCATCGCCATGGCCAAGGCATACGCCAATGCAAGACGCGAGGCCATCCGCCTGGTTAAGGCAGTCCGCAAAGCAGCTTTTGCTATGGCGCAAGTTTTCGCTTCCTCCACTGCCAAAGTATCCGCTGCCGTGGAGCTTGCCACGGCAAGTGTGTCTAAGGCCCTTACCGTTGCCAAGGCAACGAGTATCGCTAAGGCCATTGCTACTGTAAACGCGGTGGAGGATGATCGTGATGAGGCATACGAAGAGTTGCGTGTAGCAGCAGTTGCTTTGGCAGAATCGAGATCGAACCTAGAGGCAATTGTCGCCAGTCATGGAGCTGCTTCTGTCACGGGATCCGCCTTGGCAGGGGGAGACAGTGCAGGAGCCTCGGGAGAAGATACCGCCTCCCAGACCAGTTACGGCGACAGCCCCACGCGGCTCAGCTCCACCTACTCTCGAGTGGACGACAAGGCTGCCGCAAGTGTTGCTCTAACTACTGGCTCCAACACCGACAAGACGGATACTATGGCATCTTACTGACACTACGAATAAAAACACAAAGCATATAATATGAAATGGCAAACGAGTGTTGTTTTCTTTCAATATTGAATTTGCAATTTTCGCATACTCGCAAGCAAAAACTGAGTTAAGAGACAATTAAACGCTGAAAATTACGGTTCTGGGGGAAAGGGGTGTGGAGGG